GCAAATTTAAGAGGTGTTATGTGTGGAGACATAAAAAAGCATAATTAACTGAACTAAACTCCTCATTAACTAAACACACCTCCATCCTAGGCATTTCAAGTACATTCCTATTTGTTCAAGTCCCCAGATTGCCATTTTGGAGACAAAAAGAGAGCCAAAGCATTTTATTTCTGCAGACTGTGCAATTGAAGCACAGTAGACCTTAGTGCAAAGGGACTTAGAAGATGATTTTTCTGAAGAAGGCTGGGACTTGATGAAGGTGGGGGAAAGCTAGCAGGAACGCTGGTGGGGACTTCTGACTGCCAGTGGCCCCAGGAGCAAGGCTGCCCATCTCCCTCACCCTCATACATGGTGCAGAGCTTGCAAGGGCTCCACACTCGGAGCCTTCCACTGTTCCACAGAAGCTCTTCACTCATCCGCAGGGAAGAAACTAGCCTCCCCTTAGCCTTGCAGGAGTGAGTCTTAAAGAGCTACATGAGGCTTTCTATACCAAGAAGGCACTATTCCTTGATCCAGTTCCAGTATCCTCCTTCCGTTGTTCGCAGAGTTCAATTCATCAGGAAGAATTAGGACGTTCTGTTGAAGTGACTAAGGCTTCCTCTGACCTGCGCTGACTCCATGTTTGGAAGCTGTCAGCGGCCAGCAGGGTTCATGGTCCCAAATGAGGTCCTCATCTGCTTCCAGGAAAGGACTGACTCAAACCCACAGGATTCAGCTGTGGAGTTACTGTAATTTTATATTTCTAGGGAATTCTTTTTTTAATTAGTCTGACATATCACCACAACTATAAAAATTGATTTTGACAAATGACAGGCTATCTCAAGGTCAAGTAACCTTAGTGATGTGTATATAACATCTTATTACTATGGTGTGTGTGTGTGTGTGTGTGTGTGTGTGTGTGTGTGTGTAGCCCCCCCAGGTGGGAAATGGATCCTGCTTGGGCCCGAGGTCCAGAAGGCAATGGCCCTTACTCTCTAGAGCATGTCAAAATCACCTGTTGATTTTGAATCTGCATTTTAAAGATGCACATACCCCAGGTCAAGCAGAAGAGAGTCCTCAGACCTCACTGATGAAAGATGAGCACAGGAACCCTGTTTGTGCATTTTGAGCACAAGGACAAAGACAAGAAACTGTATCATTTACCTCTGACAATGGTCTCCGAAAATGAATATGATCCTTTTAGTCAGGACTTTATTAATTAATGTGAACAATATATGTTTCTGAGGCACTACAGCCCAGCTTAAGTCTCTAAAGGAAACAGTAAGAAAATCACTCTCTCCCACTGAGGAGCGCGTGAGGCCCTTCTGCCACCACCGCCAACCCCCTGTCTGTGCTCTGACTCCCACCCTCCCCCAGTCAGGTATTCTAAGTCGGCCTGCTTGGCTGTATGGCGGGGACACCCTGCAATATCCGAGGCAGTTAATGTTTGGATCATTAACTTTTCATTAGCCTACATACTGGTCACAAGCTCACTGTTTAGATATTTTGTAATTTGCATTTTTAAAACCTATGTCTACGTACAAACCAGTTTAACTTAATGGGGGGTATTATTATTGTTTCATTATTATTACTGTTACCATTATTATTCTCATGTTGCTTTTATGGAGAAAAAAGGAATGCAGTTTTTGGTGGCTTCAACATAACAGCACTGTTATAAATATTGGTGGATTGATTGTATGTCAAGTAAGAGATGTGACTAAATATTTCATCCAGCATCTGAAGGGACTTGATATAGACCAGAAGGTTGCAGCAAAAAGAGCTTATTGTGGAAAAGGTCAAAATGGTGAAGAACAAAAAAGTGGTGGTGGAGAAAATAACTGCTTGTGCAGGGAACAGTTCTCTGTGAGGCAGAGAGACGCAAACAAGATGCTAAGGGAATTCCATGCACAAGGAAGGATGCCTTTCAGAATGGACAGGGTTTGCGAAAGCCACCCAAGGGTCACTGTCTGGACAAGAGGAAGGCCACTTATATCAACACGGCTCTAGGCGGAGGGAAATAGATTTGGACAGAGAGAGAAATGGAGTAAAGATAGAAATGGAGTTAGAGATAGAAATGTGAGGGGGAGAAAGAAGAGGAGAGAGAGAATGGTAGGTAAAATAAAGCTTTCTAGAGAGAGATAGCTAAATTTACTGAGCTCTTACTATGGCCACTAACAGTCACAGCATGCAGGAACTCATGCTACCAGCACTATAAAGCACAAAAAAGTTATGTAATTTGCCCAAAACCCTACTAAGCTGAAATTCTGAAATTCTAATCAGCTAGGCAATCTGACTCCAGACACTGCATACTTAACTACTCTGCTTCAGAAATGAGAAGAAGATGGCTCACAAACTCAAATGCCCTATTTTATATGCACTTTATTGTACCCCTGCTATCAAATTCATAATCATACCTAGCGAACAAATAAGTGGAGACAGTTTTTAAAAAGATAGATAGACTAGTTTGTAAATGTGCAGATTGGAGGAATCTGACAGCTATTAATTAAACCTAACAAAATAAAACAAAATCAAATGGCTGCTTACCATATCCCAATAATTGAAAATGAGAGAACAGCTATCAAAACCGGAAGTGACAATGCTTTGTTTGCCCAGCTATCTGCAAAGAGAGTTACAACTGGCACTGATCTGTTTATTTCTGAGTCTTCGCTAATTCTGCAGAATGCTAAAAGACCTTGCTCTTTCACTCTAAATAAGTTGTTCATGGGAGTTGATTTATTTGATTTTTCCCTTTAACGTTTTGTTATAGAAGTGTTCAAACATATTGCAAAGTTGGAAGAATTTTCCAATGAAAGCTCAGTGCACACAGCCCCCAGATATTTCCTGCAGATTTACCCAACATATTCCTTCTGAACGGCATTCTTAATGGATCTTAGCTTCATCTGAGTCATCTCACGGTGCCCAGCATGCAGTTTGTTATTAGTTGAGTCATTTGGATGGATGCTGATCATCCACTGTGCCTTAGGCAGGGATCAGTGATGAACAACTAATCAAGAGCAGAATCCAAAGGAGCAAAACAAAGAGTCCTTTTCATGTTGTGCATGTTGTTACTGGTAAACTCTCCGTGCAAACATGGTCCACGCTCACCCGGTGGTAAGAGTTTTGAAAATATATCAAAGTAATAACATCTTAAGCTAAGGTTTCTTAAAATTATTTTTGTCCTGTATTTTCACTCTTTCTCTTGCTTTTCAGCCATCCTGGGTAATGAAATGGGATGAAACTCACATGGTATGTTAAGGGACATTTACTCTCACGTGCACTAGCTAAATACACTAAGTGTACTTGAACTTCTATTCCAACAACACTCCAGCCCACAGCACCCATTTGAGCATGGAAGCCACACTTATAGACATCTCGACCTTTCTCTTTAGAAAGCAAACAGCGTCGACTGAGATAATCGACTGAGATAATCAACTGCAATACTGCAAGGATGACACACACCACCAACCACAGCTGTGAGAGCCATCCCCTGCCTTTCAATGTGATTATCCACTAGGCGTAGCTAAGGGTTGTTCTGGGTTGGATTGTGTCCCACAGAAAACATGTGTTGAAGTCCTAAATCCCAGAACCTCAGAATGTGCCCTATTCGGAAATAGGGTTTTTGCGGATTTAAACAAGTTACCGTGAGGCCGTTAGAGTGAGCCTTGTAAATTCAACATGACTGGTGTCCCTGTAAAAAAGGGAAAACTTGGACATAAAAACAGACAAACGCATAGGCAGAGGTCAGAGTGATGTGTCAGCAAACCACCAGAAGCTGGGAGAAAGGAATGAAACCCATTGTCCCTCACAGCCCTCAGAGGGAACCAACCTCTGATCTCAGACTTCTAACCTCCAGACCTGTGAGACAATAAATTTCTCCTATTTAAACCACCTGCTTTGTAGTGGGCTTTTTTTTTCCTGCAGGCCTTAGCAAATTAATACAGGGATGTTGGCAGGAGATCAAAGACCATCACCTTTGGAAATACCATAGACAAGGCTAGAAGCAGTGATGAGGAAAAGAATTGGTTAGAAAAAAATTTAATTGTACAAATTTCTTTCCAATTGATGTACCAGCATTCTGAAGATCTCCTGGGAAAAATTATATATATATATATATATATATATATATATATATATGTAATATAAATATATATAAATAAATATATAAATATATGTGTATTTAATATATATATATATATACACATATATGTGATTTTTAAATGCCATATCTGATGGTAAGTGTTATCTCTTTGGCATTTGAATGCAGCTTATTTCTGTTTTATTGGAACATATGAATGAGTGATGGTTTTCATAAGGATAAGAGAGTAAGTTCCATGGAATACAGGTGTGTAAGGGGTGAGGAGACCTGGGTAAGGAATTCTGCGTTCTTCCTTGTCATCTCCACAGTTCCTTTCCTCTTACAGCATATGTATAAGCTCATGCAAGAAGTAAGAAGTTAGATATTTTTAATACATAATTCTTCACCAAAAAACTTTCAAAAGATAGTAGAATATAATTCCTGGTTTATCCCTAGTCCTAAACCAAGAAGTCAAATGAAAGAAAGCAATTCCAGCTGCCAGTTCTTCAGAACTAGAAGGCCTTCTGGGTTTTCATTATTGGCAACCATATCAGAGGAATCACAGTTGCTTCAGGATGACCCAGATACTTTGAGTTCTATTGTCATTCCTTTAACTGAAACTCTAGTTGCTGTTCCATCTGCTTCCTTCTCCTAATTCCTGTGTGTCCCAGCCCTCAAATACTGGAACTTTATTCCCAGTCATCCAGCCCGTGAGGTTTAAGAGACTCTCATTACATGGAGTCTGTTAAGATGGCAATGTTTGGGATCTGGCCAAGCCAGCTGGGGAGCAGGTCACTGCAGGTGCGAGTGTCACCCTGGCGGCCATCAAAATGAGGACATGTCCTGGGGAAAGTCCGGGCCTCTGGTCCCCAGAGCCAAGACTGTATCACATACAAGGGTGACCCAAAAAACCCTGGAATTTATGTATAAAAAAATGTGTATTTATTTTCACATGTTTAAACTTCAGTCACAGTCCAAGTACTCTCCATTAGGTGCAATGGAGATGTTTTTGACAACCTATTGAGATATTTTTCCATTGCTCAAAACAGTTTTTGAACTCATCAATTTTGATGCTTTTAGTGCTTCTGTCTTTTTTTGTTTCACCTCTTCCACATCAGCAAAACGTTTCCCTCTGAGGACTTTTTTCATCTGTGGAAACAAAAAGAGGTCACTTGGGGTGAGATAAGAAAAACTTCTAACCATTCAGCACAGTGTAGGCAGATGCACTCATAAGTCACCCATCATAAAAGAGGCAAATGCGTTGAGTCTTCAAAAACAATTAACTGACACCTAATACAGCCTCTCACAACAACACCAGCTGGTACACTGATACAGATGGGTTCCTAGAACACAGTGGGAAGCCTGTACTACAAGAAGCCTTCCCTCCAGAAGATAATTCCAGGGTTTTTTTTGGTCCCTCCTCAAATAGGAACCTTCATCCCAAATGTTGCATAAACTGGGTCAGAATTCACTGAATTTCTGTTGATTTTCTCTGCAACAGCAAAAATAATTCCAGTAGTTATTTACCTATATACCTTTGTTGATTGAATATAAAATTATATTTTATTTGTGTGTATGTGTTCATGTACATAATTTCTCTTTAAAATTAAAAATAAGCTCAACATAAGCAACATAAACAAAATAAGCTCAATATTTTGCTTTGATTTTCATGTGATTATTATCAGTAGGTCAATAGTATATATTTATTAAGCCAGGCATCCCGCAGAGGCTAGCCATGGTGGGGGATATAAAAGGAGAGAAAGGAACAGTGTCTGCCCTAAAGGCTGATTTATATTACCTGGGAAGATAAAACTAAGGCTCCTGTCACTCAAAGTACAATTATTGCCAAAACCTATGATAAGTACTATACAGAAGTGTTAGCTCCAAGTATAATATGAGCCAAGAAAAGAAGTTGGCTTGACTTCAGCAGCCAGTACAAGCTCTGTCAAGGATATCAGGTGTGAGCTGCCTTAAAAGAGAACATTGGAAAGAGAGGCCAAAGGGCAGGGTCTGACATAGTATATTGTACAGAACATAGAACACAGAAACAAAGACATGAAAATGGGACAGGAATGATGTGTGGTGGGAAAATCAACGTCGAATCCAAGAAGGCTGCAGATCTGAATGGAGGTAATACTTGTTATTGAAGAGAGTCATCCACAGGCGCTGAGAGAGCCAAATGCCAGACACGGAGCATTGCTGTGGTGAAATACTAGCTGTTTCATATGGATGGCACCACCCAGGAGAACGAGAAGGGAAGCTAATGCTTGCAAGCCTGAACTCCCCGATGGTGTGTAGGTCACAGCTAGGGCAAAATCACTAGACACTGTGGCTTAGGGACTCGGGGCCATGCTGGGAGGTGAATGGGCAGAGGTGAGGTGATGAATCATTTCTCCAGGACTTGAGGTAGGCTCTGAGGTCTTTCTGGGGTCCCTGTTTTCATAAGAAAGTAGCCATGAGGAAGTTCCAGCTTAGGATTCAGAAGCTGAAATATGACTCAGGTCAAGATGTAATTTTTAGCTTGCTAGAGGTCAGACCATGTGACCATTGTCAGGTCAAACTCTTGTCTTCTGCTGCCTTGAGGAGGTGCTGATTATGGGGGAAAGGCAAGGTCTCTGAGGGGTATATGTAGAGTGAGAGTTAATTTCTGGAGCTAGAAATTTAAGACCAAATTTAATCAAAGTTGGGTCATAAGGACCCTCAATTTCATAGGGAACATGTACATCACAGACAGATATTTTTCACTCTTTCATTCTCCATGTTCCTTCTTAACTTCAGCAAATATTGATTGAAAGCCTATTAGGCACCTGGCACTTTTCTAGGTCCTGGGGATAGGAGATAATATCTACAGATATGCAGCCCACGTTCTAGTCAGGTAGACAAAGCTGGAAGGTTCATAGCCGAAAAAGAGTGTTTGGAGGGCATGTGGTGTCAGATGCCCTGGTGTCAGATGGGTACTGGGTTTATCAGGGGGTTCACTTTGTAAGTTATATAAATGTCTAACCACTGGGTTGTACTTCTGCGACCAATATAATATTGTATGTCAAATACAAATTCAAAATTGAAATTATTAGGAAAAAAGAAATTAGGAAGGAGAAATGATCTAGAATTAGCAACAAGGACCAAGAAGCAGCTGCTTCACCTTCAGGCCCTGGACCACGTGAGGTATGGGAGAAGCCACCCCCACTTGAGAGTGATGCACAGAATCGATGTCCTGAGGGGCAAGCAAAATTTCATTTAGGTCTGGAAGATGAAGTGCATGAGGCTTGTGCGGAGTAAACTGCAAAACTGGTGAGTCTGTTCTTTTCAGGCTATTGCATGCACTTATCTTATCTGGTCTTCAGAAGACCAGACTGTTTCCAGGGAAACAGACAGGTGGAGAAACTGAGGTCAGGGAGTTCAGTCACTTGCACATTGGACCACACTGCAAAACTAATGATGATTAAACATCAGGACTCCCCTCTCGCATGGGTTCCTTTGAAGATCCTGGAAGGAAAAGAGGTCCACCAAAGTGTTCAATTGGCCATGCATTTCAATAAAACTTGTAAACGTGAGACACTTCGATCACAATTGGTGACTAAATCACAAGTGGTAAATACCAGTTTCTTTCCATTCCAATGTTCCCTCTGTGAGACTGCCTTTCATGTTGCATGGCCCAGAGAATTTTCAGAATCTGTCTAATGAAAAGTTGAGTTGGGGATATCTGCAGGTCCTTGAAAAACATCATGACATCATTTCATTCTACATCTTTTGGATATAATGAAGAGATGCCATAGGAACTTAATTATTGTTGATATCAATTAGCCTATGGTAAATTGGCTTCATTATATGTTGTTTCACTTAAAGTCACCAAATCTATCAACAATATTAAGTGAGGACTTACTGTACATAGTTTAAATTTTATAGGGTCAATTTTTGTGGTCCAAAGTCACTTATGTGTGTGGTCACATTGTTGCAAAACTTCCTGGTATAGGACTGGCTTCCAGGCGTGTACTCTCCAACCCCCTGCTTGTTCTCTCTCTCTCTCTCTCTCTCTCTCTCTCTGTGTCTCTCTGTCTCTCTCTCTCTCTCTCTCACACACACACACACACACACTCCCCTGTGCCAACTCCTCTGGCTCCCACAAAAAGACTACAGGTTTTTCTACAGCACCCTGCACTGGAGGTATGTGGGTGTGAATAGTGGGAGAGAAACAAGTTTTCACATATAAAGACTGGATGATCATTTCATTCTTTATAAAAATATTACAAAATTGTTATCTTCTCAAGAAGTGACTGGAGAGTATGCAGACAAAAATTATTGGGAAAAGAGTGTTATAGAAGTGTGCCAGGCTAATAAACATACTGTGTCATTCTTACAGATTTGTAATACATATCGCATTTACCAGCTTTTTGAGTTTTGTAATACTTAGTGTTTCTTTTCTCATTATAGATACTCACTTTTATACCTACTTTTGTGTTTCTAATTTGTACTCTTTTTCTTAAAGACCTATGCCAAACTGTATAAGCACTGAAAATACTCGCAAAGAAACTAAATATTCTAACTCCTAGTCTGACGGACACTGCAGCCTCTCAGACCCACCCAGCCATTCACACGGCGTCAGACCCGGAAGTGACCGTGGAGAATCTGACCAGTGGTAATTTCCACAAAGTGCAGGTCTTCCTTTTTTTTCTCCAATGGTTTATCCATGTTGAACATTTTGATGCCATGAAAAAAATTGAGAAATTCCCCGTTCCTCGCCCCCAAACCTCCACCCCAGTAGTTTTCCTTTACGTACACACTTCTTCATTTCCTGATTCTGGTCTGGGCTTGAAGCAAACGTACCTGAATCCAGCCAGAAAATCTGTTATTGCAATAGTCTTGGCCTAAGAGGGGCAGGAAATACCAACAACCTCATGTGAGCTATTCCCCAATGAAGAGCCGACCTGAATGCCCAAATGTGGGGGCGCTGCATAACTCAGATGCGGCTCAGATAAGCTACAGACACTGGAAACACCTTTCCTCCTGGTCTTTGGTGGCCGCTGGGGAGGCAGGGATCGCACACAATGACATGCTGAAATAAGGGACTGAATATCTTTTTTTTAAAAAAAACTGCAAGTCCCTGGAAAATAACAAAGGGCATTTCTATTGGAAATATTGTCCCAAATACCAACTTCAATTGTCAAACAGAGAAAAAAATAAAACTACCAACAAAAACAGAAGACTCAGTCTTATTTGTTGAGAAAAGGATTGTTAGATTCACTGTCCAGTCCTTGCACAACTAAGTATTTTCACTTCAGTCAGGTTCCTTTCTCTAGTGCATTATATAGAAGAAACAAAGGAGAGGGAGGGAGGGAGAGAGAGATGACCCCTGTAAACTGCCTGATCTTCCCACAAAGACCAGAAGCTAATGCATAAAGCACACAGAGCACATCCATTCCACAACATTATGCATGTTTCTTTCAGTGAAACATGTTACTAACAAACTGATGTTATCAATACCTGGTTGTAAAGTTTGAAACCTCATCCTACTCCTCAATATGACCGTAAGTCCTTGACTTGGGCATTCATGATAATCTCTTGCTTCACCTTGGACACTTGTGCAATGTTTCGTGTTTGCAGTATTGACGCAATTCTGTTGTAGTCCTGTTTACTGTGCTGGCAATAACATTCTAGTCAAACGCACATCTTAGAATTTGCATTGGCCTTGTTGTGACCTGCCGGATGAATCATCCCTGGTCGACCAGCCCGTGGTTTCCCAGCACTGACACAAAGCTGTTTTACCCCATTAATTGGAGAAGCCTGTTCACACGGGCTCACATACATGTCCGGGCTGGGCTGTTTGAACTGCTTTGGGGAAGAGCAATAAGGCAAGGCATCTGGGTGGCCAGCTCTCTCCTCAAAGTCTAGATGGGAGGAAAGTGTAAGGCATGGGATTTTCAAAACAACATCCTCGGCAGGAGTCCTGCATTTTTCTTTGAATGGTTAGTTCTGAGCATAATTCCATGATTCTATTTGCTTAGCTCCCCAGTGTTTTGGTATTGAGACATCTACAAGTAAGGACGGTCACAAAACAGAGACAGCGACACTGGGCAGAGGGATGCTTAGTGGCTAGAAGAGACTCAGTTATGACACATCTGCAAAGTCCTTCATGCAGAATAGGCACTCAG